TCAGTGCCGGTTGTGCAAAGGTTGAATCTGAGGTCGTGGTGAGGTTGGAAGGGATGAATCGGAAAGCAAGATGTGTCACCGTAGGATGGTAGTAGGGTAAACTCTCTCTTCGTGTACAAGTGGTGTAAGGACCAACATGGATGGAAGACATGCGAATTCACCGGTTCCAAAGGCGTAAAGCATACGGTGCTGCTCTAGTCCCGAGTATTGACCTGGCCTACGCGGTAGCAGCTTGCGATGGACATTGCGCACTGGGCTGTATCCTTCCAGACATGGAGCAGACGATGGGATGGTGTTATCGGAGTCTGAGATGGTCTCTGAGCGCAAGATCAGTGTCGAATTGTGCTCCGGGTGATGAATCAATTGCGACACAGCTGCCTCGAACTGTTAGAGTAGATCATATCAACACAACGGAAATCACATAAGGAGATTGTGCACGCACCAATTCAAGCGGAAAATCTGCAGGACAGCTAATCAACGATTGGAATTTGAAGTGCAAAGGATTGGAATCTGATCGCGCAGTGGAGGTGCATCATGATGAAGCGGGGTGAATATCACATGATGAAGGGATTGAATCTTACACAATGTCTAGCCACCTGCCCAAGCTCTGGCCAGGAAAACTTTATACCTTAATAGCGCAACCAGTGAGGCTGTGACGGTAGAAGGTCGCGTCCTTGACGAATCGACGAAGATTGACCGTGATGGATTCGAAAGCCTCTAGCTTCTCTGTAACATGGGATGTCCATGACCGTCTTCAGGACACGATTCAGATGTTACTAAGCCTGTTGCTTACAAAATTGAACCACGTGACTATTCAGTTTTCCTTATGCTATTAAGGTAGACGACATTAAAATCCAACTACATTTTGAGACACCATTTTGCACAACTTATTGCACTTTCCTCATCCACTTTCCAAACATTCTTTTTGCACCAATCTGTTCCTAAGACCTCTCTAGATAGCTTGATGGTCTCAAATTTTCTCAAAACTGAAATTTAAGAGAGCTATTTCCACTTTTTCTATATGTTGTATTTCATCTCCAAATACATTTCTGACGCTATAGGCGGAAAATAAAATATTTGTCCCGTAGATTTGGCCACGTCACGTGATACCACTTTAACCATATATGGTAGATTACATAACACCAGGCTGTGCCACAATCAAGGTAAGCACTACTGGTGCGTAGTCAGTCATAACCATACTCCTTTGATACTCCTAGTACTTTAAGTGTGGATGTAGGGTAAAATACAAAGCTTATTGTTTTTTAATTTTTTTTTTTGATGTTGTCAAAGTGATTTTCGAGGCAAATAGTGATTTTCGAATTTCGAATTCTGAGATTTGGCCATGGGAACAGTCACGTGATCACATGGTGGCACTAGTTGTATTTCAATGTCGTCTACCTTACAAGTTCCGAGTGCGCGTTATCCCCGGTTCTGTCAGACGCAAAGGACCAGATTCTCTGTAAAAGTTTTGGCATTTACAGTGTGTTGCAAATGACTTTAGAATGCACGAGAATTTTTTTGCGAGCTCGGTGTTTGTAAAATAGTTCGTAATAGCCAAATGCGGGACTTTCTGTCACATCAATGACTCGAAAATATTGTCTCCTCCACCTCAGGGTGTATCAATTGCACTCTGACACTAGGCACTCCCTTTGTCAATACTGTCAATACTAAATAATTATAATATATCATAGGCCTTGTCCGCAACGAGTAACTCTGGCCATACTCGCGGTGATTTCGCAAGACATTGAGCTAGTTTTCTAAGAAAATTCCAACAGTCTTCCATTGTTCATATTCTGGTGCATTCTGAATTGAATTCAGGAGTGATCAGAGATGCTAAATACTAAATATTTTAATCTGTTCGCACATCGGCTCTAGTCTGAATCTACATACTTCAAGTTAGGGAAAATCACACTTTTCTGCGTGGTAACTCTCCGCTGGACTCAACATGTCAATTTTGAAAGAAAAAACCAGCGGGTCTTGTACTTTAAATATCAGACTATCTATCCGTCAAGAAATTATATTTTTATGTGGATGTGTTGTAGAGATACAGATGTTTTAAAATGTGCAAACTCTAGTTGATCATCAGATAATCTAGCCTGGTTGGCAGTGGCATGAAAACCGGAATGATTGACCAAGCGTGACACAAGTCACACGTCAATACAAAGGAACAAACACAATTTTGAAAACACGATTCTAAAGTCATTTGTAACACACTGTTTGTCACGTTGATTACTCGTCGGGCTGTTGCTTATGCAATGTGAAACATCTTTCGAATCATTGCAGTCCATTGAACGAGGTGACTGGGGGATTTGGCAGGGCTGGCAGTGGCAAGGCTAGACACACTTTTTTAGTCTTGAACTACTAATTGATTCCTGATCAGAATCATAAGATCCAGCAAGGGAAATTGAATGGAATTGGCTATGAAGATGCGGCACAATTGAATCTACATACATAGTAACAATTTTGTGGCCCCGCATCTTGATTGTTATTTCCAACCTGCCTAGTGTCTCTGTGTTGTTCGTGATGTAAAAATATGTGCCGGGTCTAACCGACAGCGGAGTCGCAATGTATATAGTGCAAAACGGGAAAAACCGACCTCTCGCCACAGCACCAACCACCTGACTGTCACTGCTTATGTTACTACTTAGTAATATTAGCACATATGCTACAAGTCCCAGGGATCCGCACGGGTAAACCCCCGGGTACCAGAGCCCATACCCGCACCCGTACTCGGCAAAAACCCGTACCCGTCAATGCAGGTACAGGTTTTTGGCGGGTATGATGAGTTCGGACCCATACCCGCACCCGTGTGGGGTTTACCCGCGGGTAACACATACAAATAAAGCAGGGACAAGATGCAGATGAGCATGACAATACTAGTAAGTAATGTACATACAAACATAGATTTAAAAAATATACCTATATTACTGGGAACAAGTGGTGACATGCACGGACATGCACAAAGTTGTGAGCAAGTGTGAGAGTGCGAGACAGGGCAGGGCTAGGTAAGGTGCCAAAGGTCTTCTTCAACCCAGCCTTGTTCCTCGTGTGTTTGCGTTCGTGCCATGTCAGCATTTGCTGACATGTCGTATGGCCATACGCAGCATGCCTGATGGCATAGAGGGCTCGGGTAGTATCCACACTGGTGTTGTCATGGGTCAAGAGGCATGCGACGGAGAAAGCTGAAACACCAACACTTTGCTTACGGTAAGCCAAAACCTTATTTTCAGCCACTTTGGCATTATACCGTCTTGTCATTTGAACTTCTCGACAGCATCATCAAATCTCAATGAATCTTTCCGCGACCCGGGGGAGGTGGTGGTTATAGGTACATTGGAATAGCCCTAGGTACATAGAATAATAAATTCCTTATGATATTGTTGAATCCCCCTGCAAAATGAATGTTTTTGATTTTTTTTGGCTTCATGTGAGTTCGCAATTGCACGTGACAATTAATTAATGAGTGTCATATGTCCTGGAACGCATCACTGCGTCGAGCCTACTACCATATGATGTACCCAGCCCGTTACAAGTCTTGGTTTCCCGTGGACTCTCAAGAATCAGACTCGCAAAGCAGTTATGCTTCTCAACCCATTGACTTTGATCAGTTTTCATACCAGTTTGATCCTTCTCAATTCCCGCACAATGATCTGAGCCTCAGTCCGATTGATATTAATGCGTATTCTCTTGATGATGTAGCGCCAGCAGCTTCCATCAACTCTAATACCCCCATTCTGTTTTCTCATGCACTGCCATTACCCATTGGTCAAACAGGAACACGATCCGAAGCACCCAACACTGCGGCTATACCTTTTTCTGATGATTCTGACACTTTGGCTCTTGATTCCGTCACATTACTCAAATCAAACATGCCTGCTGATCTTATGTGTCTATTTTCAGCAAATCTTATCAATAGGCGTGCTGGAACCCACCGGTGGGAAGTTGAGTGTCCAGACTGCAAAGCCTGGATCAAGACCACCCTTCCAACCCAGATTCTTAGTGATCTAGGTGCTCTAGGGTATTTCAATACTCTCAGCGATCACCGGCAGGGTAAAAAGTGTTTGAAGGGCCTCAATCAAGCAGATTCATCGCCATCACTGAGCACAGCCAGCTCCACCTCGAGTATTTCACCTCATTTTACTCCATCCGAAACATCACATGCAACGGACGTAAATGTGTGCCCTGGGGTTCCGATACATTGGCCTGTTCTGGGCCCTTCATTTCTTGAAACCTTTCCTGTTGGTTGAGCTTCCGCAGGCCAAGGAGTCCTTCCTTTCAGCATTGACACGCATGGCAGTATTCCTCACAGATACTCTCTTAATTGTACAGGATTCACGACGACACCAATGTCACCTTGCAGTGGGTGCACTGAGGTTGAGGGATTCATCAAACACCTCCTCTCACTCGCTCAAGACATCAAACCACACACCAGATACCGATTTCTAAGTCACTCTGACATGGTCAATAGAGGAAGTCAAACTGGGCGATTCACGCACCAATTCTGACAGCGATTCTGACGTCGATTTTCGAGCGTCAGAATCGTGCAAATCGTGAATCACCCTGAATCGTTGAAGCGGCTCTGGAGCCGCTTCAACGATTCGTTTCACCGCTGATATGTCTAGATTTGAATTTTATTTAAAAATTAAATACATAGTGATCAAAAACATATGATGAAAATAAAACTACAAATGAACAACGACTCCTGTCACTGATATCCCAGTTCTCATGGCAAAAGCAAGTAAAAACATGCCTGCAAAATCCACTAGTGAAGGCAAGAAGAACTCGAAGAACACCGAGACCGGCAGTAAGAGAGGGTTGAAGGGTCGTGAAAATAGCACGAGAGACAAGGATGGTGATGCTGTGAGCCTTGAGCCGCCCGAAATTGAGTGCGTGGATTCTAGTAGTGTCAATCAGTGTATTCTGACCATGTCTGTATGCAGGTGGACCGAAGAACTCACCTTTCAGATGCTCACTGAGATCACTGAAGACGAGGATATCAAACAAGGCTTGTTTCCAGTTCCTGGCTCGAATCCAAGAAATCAAGGTGTCCCAAAAACTCACTGGCATTGGGTTCTATGCGAGAAACTGTTTTCTTACCACGAGGGCTATAAAAGCCGGTTTGAAGTGTTGCAGGACAAAGGCACACCAAAGCAGAAAGAAGCCTGGCTGTCATGAGTACCAAACACAAATCATTATTCTTTCCTTTCGACCGTTGGTCATAAGCGCCCATTCCCAGCGTTAACTCATAAGCGCCCGTCATACGTACCAACTGCTACCATTACCGAAATCCAGACACCCGATATAGACGCCCTCACATCACGAGATTCTCCTAGAACTTTCCAGAACCTCACAACCGCAGCATCAGTTATCATGACATCATAGTTCTCTTTCACATTATCACATCGTACGATTCCCGTTTCTATTTTATGATTGGCTAGTTAGTTCAGACTCAGTTGTATCTCCGCTTGAATAGTAGTATATAGTATGGACCGTTTGTAGTCAGTAGTTCTTTAGTTCAAACCTTTCGTCTGTACATTGTGTACCAGCCCAAATGTTCCTGCTCAATCCATTTTCTTTGTGATATCTGAACGTTCGAGTCCTAGTCTCTGCCCTGCGTTAATTCGTTCTAAGGGGTTGTGACACTGGCACACCAAGATTAAAAATAGGTTAAAACGGTGAGCTCGCCATTTGAACGACTCACATTTAGCTCACGAGGCTTAGGATGACAGTCAACACCTTAAAGTACATTGAAGTGATGGGTGCCACAGGTGCCGGTATCAAAAAGAGGTCTGATGTGGATAAAAGCTGTCAAAACCAATTCGTAACAAAGTGGAGTACGTACCTATTTGTGACACCCACACAACTGAAAATAAACCTCCATAAAATAGTGGAGATTGAGGGGGCATGTCCTTACTTCTTCGAGATGTGTGAGCTCATTGGTCAGCGTCCGAACAACATACCTGTTGGGCTCGGCAACAATGACACTGATATTGATGTGTCTGCCATTCTTCGAAGCTCGCCTGACTATGCTCCAGGTAATGACTTGGGGGGGGTATGCCTCCGAGGAGTGGGATATCGAGAGGCAGACTCCGGAACGCGGGAACGACTCGGCAAAGAACATTGGATTGGTGCCTTCTGAAGATGGAAAACATGTCGACAGTGTTCGGAAACGACGGGGGACAGAAAATGAGAAGGCTCCGAGGAAAAAGAAGCAGAAAAAAGACGAGTTTGCTGAGATCGTGCAGGCCAAAGAGGTGACACGGCAGAAGGAGATGGATGTTGCCAAGGCGAGAGCAGAGAAAGATATCATGAGGGCCAAGATAAAGTTGGCGAAGATTGAATTGGAGTGCGAGAAGTTACGTGACCAGAGAGAACGAAGGCAAGATTGAGCTGCGAGAAAGAACATTGCTAGTACGGCAAGTCATCTTCGTCATTCCACAAGACTTCAAAGTTCCAACTGTCCTTACCACAGCCTCCAACAATTCATGGCCACTACCGTGAGGCTTCACATCACTCTGCAACACCATCTTTTGGCTTTGCCTTCCATGATGACATCGAACCGAGTTTTATGGGTCCACCAACTCTGCCAGGACCTTCGTCTTCGAGGGCTTCATCTGCTGATCCTTTTTCTGACCCTATTTCAAGGTCTGATGTTTCATTCGAGTACAATTTACCAGCTGTTCCTCAGTAAATATACTGTAGTTAATCTGATTCACTTGAATCCAAAAATTGGTGCCTCCTCAGATCCTTTGCCCGAAATAACCTCCACTTCAACAGTTCTCGTCGAGCCCGTGCTTCATGCAAACAGTTTGACCTCGCAGTGGTTTCCGGCGCAATATTTGATCCAGAGCAAGAGTCAGATGATGACAGTCCCTCAGCAATGAAAGTTTCAGTCTCGTCATCTGAGCCCGAGTTGTCTTCATCCTCGCACTGCATTGCAAATGCATGCAGTCCAATGCATGCAGCAACCCAGTATGTGGCGAATTTGTGAGACTGTTCATTCACGATTCGCACCCGCAGGCCCTTCAAAGAATGAAATCAGCCCTTCAAAAAACCAATGGCATGCTCAGAACAGATTCGGAGCATGGAAACATGGTTATTGAATTCCATGTTGCGTTCCAAAAACCCCCCGGGGGCTTTATAGGGTGCTACTACCCACGTTTGCAGCTGCAATTGCCATTAGATTGTCAGATAGTAGTTGATGATAACAGTTAACACACTGGGTATGCGGAGTCTGCCCACACGAACTCGTCACCCTCCATATACTTATTGTGGTCTCTTTTCAGCTGGGTCCCGTCCCAAGCAGATGAATTGTGAGTACTGCCAGTATGTCCATAGGAAAAGTCGACACTACAAAGGTTTGGCAGGGAAACAACCTAGAAGACAATAAAAATACAGAGTGACTATGTTTGTTGATGAACGTACTTGAATATTCAGTGAATAATTACATTTTCGATTGAAGTAGCTTTCTCCATACCAGTGAGGGCGGTCGTACAGTGGAATTAAAGTGCCATCAACGAGGCACCAGCCACCACGCCATGCCTTGCACGAGCGAGCTTCAACCCAAGATTTTGCTGCCTCTTTCTCTTCCACAGTGGGAAAACGGACTGCTTCGGCCATGAAATCAGGCCGAAGAATGGCAGTCATAACTCTCCTCGTCATCAGGGACACAGTACCATGACCCACTCCTGCCCAACGAGCAACAGCTGACTGACCTGCTGCATTTCCGCTATGGCCAAACTGATACAGAGTTACAGCAAGCTGTATGTCGACAGGATGCTGCTCGCAGGGTGAATGGTTGGCGAAGACAGGGTCAGTGCAGATTTTTGCTGTGATTCAATCAAATGTATATGGTGTGACACAAAGAATCTGACGGAAGTGATCAGGATATTTGATTTTCGTGACTGTAAGGACGTGGGGAAGCTGGGCAGGTGGGTGTAATAATCGAACTTGTGGTGCATCATAATGACGCGCGAAGATATCTTGTAAGGTGTGTCGTACGTGGTGTGCTACTCGTCCCTGATGGTGTGTAGTGACTGGTTCCCCGTCAGTTTTTTCTTACGAGTCAAAACTCGACACAGAACTGTCTTCTGAAAATTCAGAATCAGCATCTGCATCACTGTCAGTGGACTCGTGATCCGAGAAGGTAGTGCATTCTGAGGTATCCGAGAAGTAGGAGCTTGAGGACTCATCAGATTTGGTTACCTGTGAGGTGGAATCAGTAGTACTGGTGATAGTAGGTGACTCGGAGAGAGTGGACTCGGTAACTAGGTTGTCAGATGTGTTGAATGCAAAGTCATTAATTTGCTGTTTGATCTGATGAACACGTCGACGCTGGGCTAAATGCTGACAGATCTTCTTGTATCGGAGAAAGTCTTGCAAGAGCCGTTGGGCACGTTGCTGACGTGGGGTGTACTGAGCCATGATGTAGTGGATAGTAGTTTTTTGCATTTCATTGCATACTTATCTACATATTGATTATTTAAGCACTGTCAATGAGAATCATTCGCGAGAAACGAGTTGAATCAGTGATGAGAATCGGGGGTAGTCAACCTTACAATCGATTCATGGTTGATTCAGGTTGAAGAATCGTGTCGAAGATCGGAGTCAGAATTGAGGCGTGAATCACCAAGTTTGACTCCCACTAATGTTGCACATCAGTACTCTGCTGAAAATAATCGACTGAAACTCAAGGTTCATTGTTTGCGGGACGATCTGACCATACTAATTAATGTATGAAGGGTCTCAATGATGCACGAAGGGTCTCACACGTACTTACACAACTAGATGACTATAAGTCACTCATCATGGCGCTATCAGAGAACAATGTCCCGCGTCTCCAGCATATTCTTACAGTCACACTCAAGAGAGGGTCTAGCATCTGGCAGATAATCAATACACTTGAATATTCCCTTGCTGGCGCTTACCGTCCACGAGGGTATACAGGTGATGATCTTGATATGGCCATATTGGCATACCGACTTGGTGGACGTGGACTCCTTCATGCGTTTAGTCACCGCTTAGCTCTCCCATCATTATGCACGTTACAAGCCCACAGGAATTTTACGTTGATTACACCTACAATTGGCCCCATTGCATCTGATCAGCTTGACTCGAACATCAAAAACCTCCTCCTTAATTCACTGTCCCATCTAGAGTTTAAAAGTCCGGTCTGGTCCGGTCTTTTGGCCTAATTTGGACACAACCGGACCCGGACCGGTTGCCTGATTCCCACAATATCAGGCAACCTTGGACTGGACCTCAAAAGACCGATATTTTCAGTCTTTTGCGGTCCTGCAACCGGTTTTAGACCGGTTCCGGTCGCAACCGGTCTAAGACCGGTTGTACTCCTTCCCACGATTCCAACGGTCTAATTTCTGTAGTAAACGGTTAAGATCAGAGCAAGATATGAGCATTATAAAAAAGGGTTCCCAAACTCCGCCCTGCATGTGAGTCAAATATGAAATGTCATTACTATGCTTAAGTTTCTTGACGAAATATGTGCTGCTAGTCAAGGCAATTGTATAGCTAGTCTTAACTTTTCAATAGGGTAAGATATAAGATTGATATAAGCGTGACAAAAAATTGTTATCAGGCTTGTCTTTGAAAAATAAAAGTTGTTATAAGGCTTAGGTGTCTTGACGAAATACGTGCTGCTAGTCAAGGCGACACTATAGCTAGTCTTATCTTGTCAATAGAGTAAGATATAAGCAACATATAAGCTTGGCAAAAAATCGTTATCAGGCTTGTCTTTAAAAATACAAGTTGTTGTAAGGCTTAGGTGTCTCAATGGTAATTGTAGTCCTAGTCTAGGCAAGTCTATAGCTACTCATATATTGTCAAACACTCAAGTTTTGGGTACGTTATGAGCCAATCGGTGATTTTGACTGATTTTGACTTGCCGTTCTAACACGTCTGATCTTTGTGCTAGTCTTGGAGCATGATAATCATCAAGAGTTATCTAAATTTGATGTTCCATACTATTTTTGAGGTCTACGAACACACTGGTAAAGGTTTTTTAAGCTTGGAAATCAATCCCTGGTTCAGTGCCAACAAGCCTAAAAACACGCCCCACAGATTTATACGAGCCATTCTTAAAATGCTTGTAACTTTCCCAAATCTCAACCAATTTTGAAGATCAGACCACCGATAGAATCGCCCAAATGAGCACTACCCATATATAGCCAACCGGTCCCACAATGGACCGGTTGAGACCGGTTTTTTACCGGTCTTTCATTTTTTGCACAGTTAGGCAACTGCAACTGGACTTTCCTGGATCTGAGGCAACTGGCAACTGAGGTCCGGTCTTTTTCGGTCCGGTTTCGGTCCGGTTGCAGTCTTTTTTTCGGTCCTGCAACCGGACTTTAAAACACTAGTCCCATCCTTCCTCTTCCTCTATCCCTCTTCGCGGATACTCTGTCTTGATGGATGACATCGCTCTGGACGCAAGGGCTTCACATCACCGCGCATTCAAACAGTGTCATAGGATTGTGTCACTCGCATTCACACCTCATCGACCCGTCCCTTCACGCATACAACACTGCATTAAGGATTGCCGAGAAGCTCGCAGAAGGGAAGGTACACTTAGGGAAGGAAACATGAGTTGCAAGTGCGAGGACAGTGAGAAAATGATTGCTATTTTCACGCTGGTCAGAGACCGCTGGAAGGAAACTGGAGCTGAGGAACGACTGGGGCCAATCTTCAGCTTTGCTACAGATGGAGACTCGACATGTAGGCCAGCCG